TCAAAAAAATGACATTTTAACTAGCCACTTTGGGGAACTGCAAAAAAAAAAAAAAAAGAAAAGAAAAACAGCGGAGGTCGGCTGCTTTCTAACTCATCACCCGGTTGTTGAATTATATAGACTCAAAAACAACATTTGGTAACATTGTAGGTTTTATTATTACTGTATTTTATGTGCAAAAGTCTTAGGCGCATATAATGAAATGAAACATTTCTAAATATTCGAATGTTTACTATAAAGACCAATAAACATTAAAAAATAAACCTAAATCAAATCAAATTTTGATGTGACCACCGTTTACCTTTAAAGACAGCGTGCTACAGGAATTCGAACACATTGTTCTTCCACAATCTGACATGTTTCTTGATTGAAACCACATATTTGGGTTGGCGGGACTTCGGTTTTATCCACCTGCATGTGTTTGCTGGTTGATTATTCATTTTAGATCTGTCCCATAATTCTGCAGAGACATAGCCAAAAGTCAGAAAGATTAAAAGCAAGATTAAAGCAAAAATAATTTCGTCTTTTAAGTGATTAGAACAGATAAATCACATACAATGTGCCCAAAAAAAGTCAGATTTGATTTCAGGTTGAGTTTAAAACTTCAGGTTGTAGCAACAGACAAGCGTTTGCCCTGTTGACCGGACACTGAGCGTTCAAATCCCAATGATTCCAAAGCCTTCCATGGCCAGGAGGCCAAGAAAGCAAAATTAGCCACGATCTCTGGGAGAGAGTAGCATACTCTCTGTCTCCCCTGTCAATCACAGCGACACTAGCCAATCACAGGTGTCTGTTAGTTCATGTATGTGGAAGAAGGCTGATAGAGCTTTTCTCTGAGAGTGTTACGCTGCACTGTAACACAGTATGAGCAGCACTGTGGAAAGAATCACCCTCCCCAGTTGCTAGCTGTCATATGATAGGGGAGAGCTGGAACATGGGTGGGTGGGAATTGGTCAAGACTAATTTAGGGAATTAGTGTAAAAATGGGGTAAAGGATTCTTAAGGTTTTTTAGATTGCCTTTAAAAAATGCTATTTTGCCTGAAACTGCATTTTTTTTTTTTTTTTTATAACTGTTTTGTTACCTTGGAGTACATAAAGTACAGTGCAAAAAACTCAGACATGCTGAATATATAAAATTGGTCTTAGTTCTCACTCTCAGGTACATGGTCATCCAGTGTTTCCAAGCATGTTACAGACGTTTCCACACTTCTCCTACAAAAATGGATTTACTGGGTTCTGAAAAGTGGTCTGCTACGTAATATCTTACTTTCTTTAACAACATGCAAAATAATCTGCAGAAATGCAACACTTTTATTTGACCACTTTAGGTTTTTTTTTTTTTTGTTGCACAGTAATATATATACTCCCAGAAAACAATACAGTTTGGAGGAACGATTTTACTGAGAAAGCTAAATTAATAATGTTATGCTTCAGAGCTGTAACGCGGAGTCAACAGAATGGGGATCCATTAGCAGCGTTTTAATAAAAGGCAGACACAGTCGTACAGGCGTGGTCGGGCAACAGCGAAACAGGGTAATCAGAGGCAAAACAAAGGCAGAGTGATCAAACAGGCAGATGGTCAGGGCAGGCAGCAAGGAATCAGAAACGAGAAGAAACAGTCCAAGGTCAAACA